GAATGTCTAATATGTTTTAGTTTATGCAGAACTAATTCCAGGCCCGTTTATTATCAGCAAAAATCATAGAAATTCGTTATAAAATGAAACACTCGGGTGGGAAACACATGTGCCAAACAATACAATTACACACAGGGCGGCTCAGTGCTGAACTTTTTTAACTTTCCTCTTCAAATTGTCAATATCGATAGGTGCATCGTTGATGCGTTTCTGACTACTTTTCGCTCTCGGCTTATCGTTTGGAGGCACAAACTGCGAAGCTCGCTGCTTCTGCCGCTCCGCTTGTTTCTCAATCTGGAAAATAAAAGTGCTTTTTTTTTCTTCAAGTGTGGCAGAAAAGAGAAACAAGGAATTCAAAACATGTTTTTTATTAAAAAATGTTTTTTGAGTTTTAAGATTTTAGACATTTTGACCGTTTCAGAGGAACACTGGAGGAATGTTGATGGGTGAAATGAGAGGTTACACAAGTACCACATCCATTCCGAGGGCCACAAAAAAAAGGAATAAAGAAATAATTTCAATCACAGAAATCATGAAAAAGGTGCCAGCTGCAATGGTCACAGAACGATGGAGCGCCAGGAGCAATAGCAGTACATCAAACGAGAAGTAGCCAAAAATCAAAACGATTACGTATGCTTCAGTAAAACGAGTGGACTCACCTGCTGTGCACGTTTTTTATTTTGTTTTTCCAATTTTCTTTTACGCTCATTTAAGAAATACTCGCCACTCTCGAGTTGCTTGTCGATCTAGAAATACACAAAATCCTCATCTACAATTGGCTTGTCACCACTTACCCCTTTCTTACTGCACCTCGAGTACGTCTTGCCGTAGGGAATAATAAAGATGTTAACAATAATGATAGTAATAATAATAATAACGACGATAATAATAATGATAATAATAATGAGAACAGTAATGCTTATAAAGCATAAAATTATATTAAAGGACTAGATAAACAGGAATGTCTCGGCCCATTAAGTCGTATGCATTTCTATTCAACACTGTGACTGGACCTCATCAGTATGACGGTTGTGAATTTGAGAGGGGATAATGAAAAATAAATATTTTAAGAAACAAAAAGGGATAATTTGATAAAATAAAAAGGAAGACTTCGTCAAATCTGTTAGCAGGGAACCACAAGGCAAAGAGTAACCTTGCTCATGACAGGTGGTGGTGGGAACGGAGTATATTCATTTTTCTTCTTCCATCGTGCTGCTTTCTTCTTTTTGGCTTGATTTGTGGACTGTGAAGATTGTACCTGAAAACGTAAAGTTAAGTCGTCCCAAACTAGGTGTATTTTCTATTTTTCCAAAATTTTTTCCCAGTTAATTTAGCGATTAAAATTAGCACCTGTGAAACGAACTGTACCATATCGCTGCGGCATATCATCTTTAAAACCAAACTAATGTCAAAATCAGCAAAATTCCGTGCTTTTTAATTTAGCTGTTAGCATTTTTTCCCCATTCTTAACAATCTGGTGGAAAAATTTTGAATAAAAAGTAGTGATCAGTACTCTTCCAAACGCAAATCTTTGTAATAATTAAACTGCAAAGCCATATTCATGTAAAAATTGCATACCTTTTTCTTAAATTTCGGCAGGAATCGATCCCAACTTTCGTTTTTCAGTTTTTCATCCTTCATTAATTCGCGCTTTATCATCAAAGTTTTAATGTTGTATATTGGATGTATGTTATTCATGCAGTCTTCCACAATTGTTCTCACATGTTTCAGGCCCTAAATAAATGTTGTTGAAAAAAGCTGCGAGGAAAGAAAGAATTGAAAATGTAAAAAGAAACAGGGAAGCAGGACACCACAGCTACACTCTTTCATGTCCCAAGTTTATTACTGCATCACTCAAGAAAACCAAAAAAACTTAGAAAATATCATTGAGTGAGGGAACCTGCGATACACACACAGTTTTATGAGCCTGTGATAATTTTCATCTGTTAGGAGGGCATGCCCCGCAAAGGGTGCGTTCATCAGCCCAAAAGTGTTCCATGGGAATTTAGCGCAATCACTTCGACGTGGCAATCTCCAAAGGGGCTTTGGAGGCCCAATCAAGAAGTGATCATTTCAAATAGGAATGTCAGAACTA